AGCTTGGAGAGGTACCCAGATACCTTCTCTCTGCAAGGTGGGGGTACCCACCTTCAATCAAGAGACCCCCTTCAACAGTCCCCTCATATGGAGGCTCCACCCATCTTAGGCTAGTAACTTCATCGGTATTTCCTTCCTTCTAATGGTCATAGCAACAGCAGCAGCCTAATCGTCTAAACAAATCTTCCAGATATATGTCGGAGAATATAATACACTAATTAAAAGACTATATATATATCTATATATATATTTTTTGTCTTTTTTATCATTGTGATTCCCACTGACATTCTCAGTCTTTCACATGATTGCTCAGGTTTTAACTGAGGTCCAACCAGCTGTGGAACATTAAATCAGAGAAGAACTTATCTTTATGCTTACAGGTTTAAGCTGAAACTGCTAAGCAGAGTGAATTAGAAAGCTTACAAATGTTTTCCAGAAACAATCCTTCTCCCAGTCAGTGCATAGGGAAGAATAGTGGACAGTGGGCCCTATCTTATGATGAGCAACCCAGCATACCCAGCATAAATCTGCACTGATTATTAGTACAGACATAAGCACAGGCTAAGTGGATCATGTCATGAAGACAAGAGGACAGAGATGGTGGGAGCAAGAAATGAAAAGCCATTTGATCTAGGCCAGTAGAAAAGAATAGGCAGGACATAACAACACATGATTCTGATACTAACAGTTCAGGAGACTCTGGTAATAAAGATGGAGGCATAACGCAGGGAGTAGCAGATAACCACATGGTAGTCAAAGGATTTGGTTGTCAGTACAGAGGATTCCATAAGGGATAATCTAAGGAGGAAGCATTGTTGGACATAGGCTTAAAAGATAAGCTCTGAAGCATTCAAACACAGGACCCGGGACTGTGGGGAGGATGGGGAAGGTAAAGACCAGATGCATTTAAATCCACGTGGAAAGGAACATAGGCTCAAGGTGCTTGTGATTGCTACAAGGTGCGTGAGAAAGAGAGGTAAAAAGATAGGAGGATCTGGCATTTAAGATTTGGATGTGGGAGATTTCTGGCTGATGGAAATGACTTAGGAATGGGCATGGAAAGAGTGGTCAAAGTGGAACATAAGTGGAGGTTAACACCAGCCAATTGAAAATTATTAAGAAACGGTAGAAAAATAGTTAATATCCATGTAACGGAACATCCATATGAGAAATACTACTCAACAATGAAAAGGGAATAAACTATTGATAAACACAACATCTTAGATGAATTTCAAAGCCATTATACTAAGTGAGAGAAGTTAATCTTAAAAAATTACACATCATACAATTTTTGTTATATGTTTTTGAAAAGACAAATGTGATGGTCAGGGGTTAGGCATGGAATGTGTAAAACTATAAAACACAGTGAGAAGAAGTTATTTTAGGATGTTGGAAATGCTCTGCATCCTGAACAAGTCCATTTTACAGTATGCTAATTAAGAAGGAGAGACAGAGACAGAGAGAGAGAAGATCCAGTAACCTTGTTTCGCAGATGGAGAAACTGGAAACTGAAGACTGAGGTGAGGCCTGGAGAAGATCACATGGCTAGAGAGTGTTTCTGGGGACACCCGCACCCACACATATGCACTCGCCCATGCACAGACTCACACACACCCATGCCCATGCCTACAAACCACCATGAAATAAGGGGAAGAGGACAAGACCCAGGGAACGGAGATTTTAAGAGGTTTAGTAAAATGTTTGTGAAATGTAGTGGTAAAAATATTTCTTTTTCAGATTTCAGGCAAATATAAAAGGAAAGGAAAGAAAAATTACAACATCTTCATTACCATGTTTAAATTATGAAATGTTGAAAACTATCGCTTTTCATTTGTAAATCAGAGTTGTTAAATAATTGTCAAATTCTTTGCCCATAAACAGCGCGTTTGAAAGCTGGGTGTTGCTAGTTCCAGCCTGGCAATGAGTCATTGAAGTTACTTATCCCTCCTCCCCTGAGGTAAACATGTGCTAGAAAATACTGTGAAGAGGTGCATTTAGATAGAGTAGAATAACAGCCAGTCAGCAACCATCTTTTCCTCTAAGATGTGGATATGCTTTTACTACCCTTTTACTACCCTAAATCAGTCCTTCCATAAAGCATATTCATGAATTAACACATTAGTGAGATACACATGTCATCTTGTTGCCCTGACAGGGCTCTGGGTGTGACTCTGACTACTAGCTTCACACAATTCCAGGTGCACTGAGGCCCTGGTGAGACTTAACATTGCAATAAAACACACCTGATTTTATTTAGTACAAACTGATACATTTAAATTATATGGCGTTTTAAAAAATTCTTTACCAATAACCTTTGAGGGCAGGGGCTATGGTCCAGGCATCACCTTCACTTAAATCAACATTCTCTAGCAAAACATAGGTGCTCAATATATGCTGGCTTGCCATATGACCCAGCAATCCCACTACTGGGCATATACCCTGAGAAAACCGTAATTCAAAAAGAGTCATGTACCAAAATGTTCATTGCAGCTCTATTTACAATAGCCCGGAGATGGAAGCAATCTACGTGTCCATCATCGGATGAATGGATAAAGAAGATGTGGCACATATATACAATGGAATATTACTCAGCCATAAAAAGAAAGGAAATTGAGCTATTTGTAATGAGGTGGATAGACCTAGAGTCTGTCATGCAGAGTGAAGTAAGTCAGAAAGAGAAAGACAAATACTGTATGCTAACCCATATATACGGAATTTAAGAAAAAAAGTGTCATGAAGAAACTTGGGGTAAGACAGGAATAAAGACACAGACCTAGTAGAGAATGGACTTGAGGATATGGGGAGGGGGAAGGGTGAGCTGTGACAAAGTGAGAAAGTGGCATGGACATATATACACTACCAAACGTAAAATAGATAGCTAGTGGGAAGCAGCTGCATAGCACAGGGAGATCAGCTCGGTGCTTTGTGACCGCCTGGAGGGGTGGGATAGGGAGGGTGGGAGGGAGGGAGATGCAAGAGGGAAGAGATACAGGAACATATGTATATGTATAACTGATTCACTTTGTTATAAAGCAGAAACCAACACACCATTGTAAAGCAATTATACTCCAATAAAGATGTATATATATACGTATATATATACGTATATATGTATAAGTTTACGTCCCTAACCATTCATAGAGGACCTCTGCCTGCCTCTCTGGGGGATCTGAGGAGTCTGATTGTGGCCACAGAGGCATGAATGGAGGCTGGAGAGGGGAGGCCCAGAACCATCACCTGCTCTGGGAAACATACAAGTTGAAGCACTGCTAGGAGATAGTTAGAGGGGGGCTTAGACTCAATCAACCACCCTGTGGCGAAGCATGTTGTGGGCCAGTTGATAACACAAGAGCTCCTAAGGGGCATGCGTTGCTTGTCCAGCTTTTGTGCTTGTGCTAAAGATTAGGTGCCTTAGAGGTGAGCCCAAGTGGGCAAGATAAACAGTGAGTGAAGAGGACAGAGCAAGCCTTAGGTGGGCAGTGAAAGGTCATTGGAATAAAGGGAAAGGAAAATGAGTGAAAGGATGATAGAAGACAAGGGAGAAAGGGCCAGAAAATTGAAATGAAGATCAGAAAAGAGTCAAGGGAAGGTCTTTCTGTGGGCCGGATGTTAAAAGAAGACGGGAAATCAGGGTGTTCCTCTGGGTCCCCCAAAAATTCAGGAAAATAATTCTTCACCAATGACTAACCCCTATCCAGGCCCAAGCAGGAGTTCCTGTGCACGGAGGGTTGGGAGGGTTAAGGTGGGGCAGTTATCTGAGCCCAGAGACACCGGCCCAAACTTTTAGCCCCTTCTAGGACTTGGAGTCTAATCTCTTAGCCACAGACCTTATGGTCTCTAACCACTCCCCTCCCAAGCTTTGCAAATACAGCCCACCCCCTACAGTGAATGAACTAGAAGAAAGGCTCTAGGAAAGGGGCAGAAAACAGTCTCTAGTGTCTCAATGTGGTTCAGATGGAAGAGAACTGAACACAGGCACGTGAACTTGCAAAGCCCTTTAACCACTGGGTTTTAGTCATTTCTTTGTTAACTGGAATAAAGCCATTTTTAACAGAGGTTTTTGAAGTTAAGAAGAAAAGTGATGTTTCTGATGTGCTGACTTGTCACAACAGAGACACTCGCACAATGTATGCATTCAAATGTATCTTCTTCCTTAAGCATTCCGCCTGTATCTATTCTCATTATCTCATGCCTCACAACCAAATCTTAACCAAGATGAAGCATTTCCCGGTCCTTACTCAGCAGTTAGTAAGGACTCAGACATTCTTCAAAGTTTTACTTCTACCAAGGCAAAACTACCCCTCTTACAATTACACCTCACAAGTAACCCCAGCTTCACTTGACTCTTTGCTTCTATGGAGCCGCCAGCTCACTTAGATTTGTTGCACTTTCAACCACTTAATTATGGCTCAGCATGGGTAGTCCAGTTATGACCTCTCTGGATTTCTAAAAACTCACTGTTTCATGCTTCTCTATACATAAACTAGTGCAGTACTTTTGGAATCAAATGGTCTGGTTTAGAATGTCAGTTTCCACTTACTGGCTGTGTACTCTGGCAAATCATTTCATCTTTCTGTGCTTTGGTCTCTTTGGTGTGTTAGATTGTTTTAATGATGAAATGCATTAATACATGTAATGCACCTAATCATTCCTGGCCCATAGTAAATATTATAGATGTTTTAGTTATTATTATTATTACTATTATTGTTATTATTAGACATTTTGTGAAAATGGGATTATTGGATATTCAGGATGAGTAGAGGCCTGGTCTGACCTGCCACAGAAAGCAAGGACTTTGCAAAACTTTGCTTACAAGCACAATGCTCAATAGTATGTAAGATATTCTAATGGAAAGACTTGTATTCTACTCTTACAAGGACCCTGTGAGAAAAACAGGACCTGGCGGAAGTTTTAGTCCTATTTATCACAAGATTTTTGAGGTTCCCAGAGACTGAGTGACTTAAGGTGTTATGCTTAGAAACAGGAAGAACCAAACTTACAGAGCTAGTGGTGGCTTTCCTCTGTAGGCCAAAGTGTTCTTGGGAGTAGAATGTTGAATTTGCACATTCTCATGAGGATTCAGGGGAACTCTTCTCTGAGGATGTTAGAAGCATCTACTCAGAAACTTTTGCCTTCCTTGTGGCTCTCACAAATCTAGTATAGACCTGTAAGAAGCCTACATCATGGGTCAGTCATGTGAACCAGATTAGACAGATGTTCATTTACCAACATTTGTTAAGTGCCTTTGAAGTAGAATCTGTGCTAGAGTGCTTGGGATATAAAAATATATATGGCTATATGACCAGGATCTAGGATTAGACATTTAGGGAGGATGAAGTTTTTAAAGGTAGGTATTCATTCATTCACAAATATAAGCTAAGCACGTGCTTATTACCTAGCACTGCATGAGGCCAACATGATAGAAGATGATATGTACGTGCATGCATGTGGGGTGGTAGGCACAAAATGATAATTAATAGTTAGTAGAAATCCATTAGCAGTGGTATTTTAGCAGCCACTGTGAGCCACATGCAGCACTATTAGGAGATTTACATTCAATATTCCTCAATAAAACTCTATGAAACATATTTTTTACATCTTATTTTTACTAATAAAAAAATAAAATATGATAATTTGAGAAAATCTTTTAAGATCATGTAACCAGTAAATAATTGAGTCTTTTAAAATTTCCGTGAATACTTTAAATAGTTCCATGATACAAATATAACATAATAGATATACTTCATACATGTTAATATAAAGTGAAAGACCCCTCACCATTACCTTCGTACCTTCCTTAGAGAGAATCCCTATTTACAATCCCTCTGCCCTTTTTTCAACACACGTACATACACATGTATAAAAATACTCAAGCATACAGTCTTGTTTTTGGAGCCAGGAGCTGTGTGGGGTTGTTTCCATCATCCTACACTAAGAGCATTGTTAGATTGTGTGCGTTCTTGGGTTAACGTGAATACAGACTAAGGCTCCAAGGAAGCCAATGTTTTTTTAAGAGTAATGACCTTGTTGTCTTTGCTGTCAACAATGGAAAGAAAAGGGACTTACTTTTAGCATCTCCCCTCGGGAAAAAGAAGTGGGGAAAGAGACCTTGGTTTCCCACCTCCAACCCTCCTTGTATGGGGTCTACAAGTTCTTCCCTCAAAGTGCTCTCTGGATGGCCCCAGCTGAGTCAGCGGTTCCATAAACCACTCCTGCCATCTTGTGGCTTGTACAGCATCTACATGCGGCTCCTGGAGAAAAATGGAGAAAATAAGAAGAAAATGCTACAGGCTACCAAACAGTGACTTAAAAGCAACCATGACAACAGTAATCATGAAGGTAGTTATTATGTATTATTCCTATCATTGACAGTCTGTCTTTTATAGCGAACCCTAAATTTCAGAGTTTGGATTATTAATGCTATGAGACATCAAATAGGTGAAGAACATATCTACCTCTTATACTGACTGTCCAAGACTGGAGCTGCTACAGAAAAGTGAGACAGAAATACATATATTATCTATGTAGACTAAACTAAAGTGGCCAGATCATCAGGTCAGAGTCATTTTAGAAAAAATTAAACTCAAATCCCTAGAGGAGCGCTTTTCTTGATATGTTACTGTTCTATCACTGGGCATTGAGTTTTAATGATAGAAAACATCTATTCTGCTTTATTTAGTTAGTTAATGAAAATTATTTATTTATTCATTCATTCATTTATTTAATGGAAAGCCCCTATATTTTAGTGAGTACTAGTTACCAAGGATCTACCACTGCATATATTCTTTGCCTCTGTGATGCTTCTATTTTAAGAGGGAAGGCAAATAAAGAAATTTTAAATGCAACAATAAATAATTACAACTTTATGTAACTGCTATGAAAGAAATGAAAGGTTGATGCAATAGAGAATAACAAAGAAAGAAGTACATCGCTGACGCAACAACTGAGGGCTCTCAGAGGAGGTACTAGAATGTGATGGGAGAGACATGGGGGTGGAGAAAGCTTTGCCTTACCACCATTGGTCCTGGAGCTCCAGCCAATGAACACGAAGCAGGAAAAGAGCCAAATGACCATATTTCAGAAAAGTGGCTACCCAGGGGGCTGCCTTTTTCAGAGGCACTTAGTGGTCAGAATTGTGATTGAACCCTTCTTTTTGCTGGCCCTAGCTATAGACCACCATGGATATTGAAGTAAGAACCTTGTTCTGGATTTATTTCCCCGCATTTCTAGTATATACAGGGCACTAGCACATGACTGTGACGTGCACACCACATTCTGATGTTCTGATGTTTATTCCTCAGTTCTCATAGGCTTTTCCCAGGAACCAGGGTCTTTTATATTCGTGGTTTTTTTAAAAATAAAATACAAACATTCAAAAGAACATGTGAATATAGGATTTTAAGATTTTAGTAGGGAAACTGACCAAACTGTAAAAACCTGAGTTATAGCCTAGAGGTATAAAATTCCATCGTAAAGAATTAACAGAGTGACCAGAGGCAGAGATACCTCAGTAGGTAGTGCTAACAGTACCTAAAGATGCTGACATTATAAATTGAGGGAAAAAATAATAACTCACTATTTCCAACGGGTGACTTTAGTGTTAATAATGGAAATACCACAGCAGATCATCAACAATTAAAGAATCCAAATTTAATTTGTTTTAGATAAAAGCCCTGGGCTTCCCCGGTGGCGCAGTGGTTGAGAGTCCGCCTGCCGATGCAGGGGACGCAGGTTCGTGCCCCCGTCCGGGAAGATCCCACATGCTGCAGAGCGGCTGGGCCCATGAGCCATGGCCGCTGAGCCTGCACGTCCGGAGCCTGTGCTCCGCAACGGGAGAGGCCACAACAGTGAGAGGCCCGCGTACCACAAAAAAAAAAAAAAGGGGTGAATATGCATTTTGTGTTAGTGTATTACTCCATAGTGTGTTTACCTGTGTGAGCCCACTGGCACATTTATTTGCTGGAAGGCATGACTCGCTCACTTGATTCATGAATTGTAACACTTTTGCCCCAGAAGCACATGGGTATTGAGAAGCATCCATGAGTGCAAATGAGAATTTAGTCTGAGATGCTGAGAGCACCTCCTGTGTGCTATGCACACCCTGCCTCAGCGCCTTTGTACATAATGGTTCTTCTGCTGAAATACTTTTCCCTCCCCTCTCGAATCTTTACCTACTTCATTCTTACCACTTTTCAGATTTTAGATTGGAGAACCTGCTCACAGAACCCTTCCCTCTCTCCACAGACTAGACCAAGCCTCTGTTACGCTATTTCACAGTTCCCCATCTTTTATAGCACTTATCATAGTTTGTGATTATATATAATTAGTACTGTTTGAATAGTTCCAGCTACCATCATACACTCATGAGGGCAGGACCATGCCTTTTTTACTCACATTGAACTCCTAATCCCTAGCAGAATGCTGAGCACAGGGTAGGTCCTCAATTTCTGAGCCAGATATTGCAAGAAAGACAAAATCCAGAACAAGCTGGGTCCGTGGCAGTGGAATCAACTATAAATCTGGCTACCAGGGACAGTAACTTTGTAAACTTGGTGAGATCAGGGAATCTTAGAACTCAGCCTGATTCTTGCTCTATTGCTATCCACTCAGAGATCAGAATCAAATCCCAAAAGTGAGAGCCCCCTGTAGGATAATGTTCAGAGGCAGTAAAAATAAGAAGCTGTGCCCACTTTTCAGTCTGCCTGATGGTAGAGAGCCCCAAAGAACACAGAGTGCATGGTGGCAGCTCCTACAGGACACCAAATCTGGGGGGACCTTTGGAAGGACACCAGGAAAGCTGCAGTCTTCAACTCACCCTCCTCTGTTCCCCGTGCCTCTGAATCTTCTAACTTGAAACGTTTTGGTTTCCCATCCAAGCCCTCCCATCCATGTAGAGACAGCTCTTACCACCACCTCTTCTCCTATACACCCTCCCCTTTTCTCATAGCCCACAAAAAAATCAGACTCAGGCAGCAGATGACACGGGAGATTGGATGTAATTGCATCTCAAGATAGGCATTAGCAGAGCTCAGACTGGGATCCCACGATGGTACAGTGGCAGGGATGGCTGGGTCACTCACAGCACCCCTACCCTGTTCTGGCTCTCATTCTTCCCAATGATTCTGGAACAACATTGTCTCCACCGTAAAGAGCATCATAGTAAATTTGGTTCATAGTGCAGCTGCATTCAAGAATGGGGGAGTTAAGGTAGGGGATATGGGGGAAAAAGCACAGAGGAAAAGATATGGTCTGAACAACTAGGGCTCCGACAACTGCCTCAGCTTCTTCACAGCAGCATCTACGTCACCTCCAGTGGCAATGAGGGCCTGCAGATTGGCTTCAGGATTCAGAAAGCCCATGGCCCGCAATTGCTCTAGCTGTACCCGGAAGTGGGTCTCGGGCTGCAGCTGCAGGGGATTGGCGCCAGCTAGGGCTTGCAACATCTGGAGGAAGGGCATGGAATGGAGGCCCAGCACCACAGAGCCTCGTGCTGAGGGAACTTCAGGACCTGGGGCTAGGGGAGGATCCGCGGGCATAAGGGCACCCTCTCGAGGCTCTGTACTTCCTGCCGTACTTCCCAGCCCTGCTAGGCAAGGCGTGAACAAAAGGAGGAGGCGAGGGGCTTCAGTAGCCAGGATCTGCAGACCCTGCTCAATCTGCAGCAAGGCATGCATGGCACGAGGGTTTGCCATGGCTGCCTGAAGGTGCAGCAGCAGTGGCAGCTGCCAGCGCATTTCGTCCTGCAACTGTGGGGCCTCATTCATTCTGGCGGGCCTCAGAGAGCTTGGGTAAGCTGGTGGCGGCAGCCAGACATGCTCAGGGCTTCCAGCGGTAACTGCCGTGGGTGAAGGTGGGGAAGGAACAAATGGGGCCTTGTTGGCAGCACACTCCAGCCTGGAGACAAGATCAGGCATGCTGGTGCCGTGAGCAGTGGAGCCATTCCCTGCACCATCTTGGCTTCCAGCTTTTCTAGCACTGCTCTCTGTGGGATATCTCAAGAATGCGGGGCAGGAGGGCTTCCCCTTGATTGCTACTGACTCCCTGGGGAGAGGCTGGCCTGACTCAAGTTCCTGGGATGAGGGTGAAGTTGGGGGAACTTGGCTTCCTGGTGGTGGTGGTGGTTCTTGGCTTGGGCTGAGGGTAGATGCAATCCCCTGCAGATAGGTTCTCAGGGACAGGGACCTCTCATGTAATTGCTGGAGATAGTCATAGAGCCTTATATTACCTAGAATATTGCAAACCCTGTTTCTAAGTTCGGATACCTCCTGGTCCCCAGGCCTCCTGCCTCTCCTACCAGCTGAGCCTGCGAATGTGGAAGCCCAGGGGTTGGGGAGAGGGTCACGATTCTCCATCCTTGAAGGTTGGCTGCTACTGGTGGTAGCATTAGCAGTAGTGGTGGTAGCAAAGGGATTGCCACCGAACTGCTCCTGCACTGCATTAAGCATTGGGTGCATGATATCTGTATACATGGTACGGAGCACATTGTAGCCACCAGGGATGCTCTCCAGGTTTCTGAGTGCCCGGTCCTGGCTACGCATCATCTCTTGCATCGTGGCAGGTTTGCATAGAAACTCCATTGTCTGCCGCATGATTTCAGGGTTGTTGAGAATGTGCCCAATCTCAGGGTTGTGCTGGATCAGCTGTTGCATATGGGGGTTGTCAAGAACCAGCTGGCACACCAGGCCTGTGTTGGACAGCAGACCCTGGATGAAGGAGTCATCAATGATCTGAGCCACAAACTCAGGCACAGACACATGCTGCCACATCAGTGAGCTTGGCGGGTCGGGGAAACTACCAGAGGTCAGGCCTAGCCCATTGAGGCCTGTGAGGACACCTAAGCTAAAGGTGGGTAGCCTGTCTGCTGGGTAAATGGAGCTTGGCTGAGGGAGTGATCCAAGGCTTGGGGCTGGGATAGGGACCGAAGCAGCTGGGCACTCAGTGCCCACAGTACGGCGCTGCATCTTGATGACCAGGTGGACAGTGAGGCCATCTCGGACCCCACACTGTGCCAGTGAGTCAGGGTCCTTGAGGATTTTGCCAGCAAATATTAGGATCAGCTGATCAGGGTGGGCCTTAAAGCGCTGGGATATCTCTTCCTTCAGCTGCTGGATGGTGCAAGTGTCTGTAACTGAGAAATCCTCCTTGTCCTTGGACGTCTTCACTGTCACCTTGATGAGGTGAGGATCCTGGACCAGCACCGGGCTGCCCTGTGGCAGGGCCTCTCCACTTTTGGCCATGGTGGGCAGCAGGA